GCACGGGCCCTGGGCAGGGCTGGGTGGCGCAGGTAGATGCGGCTGCCTTGGCGTGACTCACATCGGGGAAGTCGGCGTCGGCGGCCTGCAGCGTCAGCACCCGGTCGCTGTACGTCAGCACCAGCGCGGCCAGGCTGGGTTCCTCCCGCACAAAGGCCTGGTACTGGGGCCGGCTGAAGCGAGGCGGGTGCACGTTGGCGGCCAGGACCCTCACCCGCACCTCCGTCACCACGTACTTGTTGGCATCGTTCACCTGCGCGGCCTAGGGAGGGCACAGAGGTGGGGCAGGGGGGCGCCAGGCTGAGGCTCGGGACCAGATTGTCCCGCCCAGGTCCCCGTGGGCGCCTGAGCCCGGAGCCCGGCCCCAGCCCGACCTACCATGACGCTGAGGCTGAAGGCAGGCGTGTGGCTCCGACTCTCTGCAGGCCGCAGCATGGTGATGGCGCCCGTCACGTTGTCTATTTGGAACCTGCCGTGGTCCGTCCCTGAGGGGGGAGAGGAGACGAGGTCAAAGAAGGGGGTGGCTCTGGATCCCGGCCTGCCCCCCGGAGGGGCACTGAGCACCGGGCACCCTGGCTTCCTAGAGCTGTGGGGCACGAATGCCATGCAGAGCCACAGGCTGCCACGCAGAGCCATGGGACGTGGGTGCTGCCCAGAGCCATGGGGTGCCACCTAGAGCCACAGGACATGGGTGCCACCCAGAGCCACAGGCTGCCACGCAGAGCCATGGGACGTGGGTGCTGCCCAGAGCCACGGGCTGTCACCCTCAGCAAGGCAGCTTAATGCGGGCGTGGAGAGTGGGCTGCAGGGCTGCCGTGCATGCTGGGAATCTCTATCCCATCCATCCCTCTCTAGTGCACCGATTGGCCAGCATCTTGGCCTCCCCGGCTTACCAAGACTCAGGGGCATTTTCAGCACCACTGGCCACTGGCTGAAGCCGGCGCTCAGGTTTCTGTTGTGCTCTGGGATCCTGGCCTGACACTCAGCTCTGGGACGATGCCCTGACAGAGGAAGAACCAGGCGTGCTGCCCAGAGGCAGAGACCCCTTGGGGACACAGCCAGGCTGGCTCCAGGGACCCCACGAGGGGGTCTGCTCAAAGCGACAGTGGGGACAACGCTGGGCTCCTCTTGCCCCTAAGAGCCTCCTGGTTATGTTAAAGGAGAATCCCAATTCACCATTAGCGCTATAGGACCAATGACACACGGGGAGCTGTGCTAACTGTCCACACACAGCCCCGTTGCAATAAGAGGTTGAGTTTCCAGGCTACCCCAGAATCTGAGTCCCCCACATGCGGCCAAGCGGAGCCAATCCCACCGAAGCCAGGAAGCCCAGGGGAACATGCCCCTTAATGTAGCTCCCAACAGTAGCCACAGTGACCTTGGCAAATGGGCTGCGTTACCCCTGAGGACACTGGCCGGTTGCCGGCCGAAAAAGCCCTGGGAACAGGCTGTTTCCTGGGAATCTGCAGGGACAGGTGGGGGCGCTAGTGTGAGACAGTTTCCTTCAGTGGGGTGACTGGGTTGGGCTGGGGCATGTTCCTGCCCCTCCTCCCCGCTACCCAACTCTCCCACTCCCGAAAGCAGTGCCTGGGCCCAGCAGAGCCAGGAAGCCCCTGGAGCAGAGTACTGGGGGGAATGGGGAAGGAGAGCTGGGGGTTGTGGCAGGAGCCGCAGGAGGCAGGGAATGGCTGGGGATGCGGGGAGGAGAATCTAGCTGGCCTCCGTTTTGCAGGGTTTGGCCTTCACCGGGTCTTCCATGCACTCAGCAACTGGGGGGGGGAGGGTGAACGGGGGGGGCTGAGCCTGTGCGTGTGCATGTCTGTTCACATTCGTGTGTGCATGTCTGTGACATACTGTGTGTCAGACTGTACCCCTGAACTCACCCCTTGCACACAGCTTGGCACCACGTACATCTTTTGCGGTATCATTTGAAAACTCATAAGTTGCTGATCATTATTGTCCTGGTAAAATGTGTGTGGCAATATTGACTTTATAAGGTTCCACTGTGTGGTGTTACTAACACCTCTGCCATATCTGGGAAGCGGCCAAACCAGTTCCTCAGAGACAAAGGGCAAGCTCACGCCTCAGCAGGTGTAAACAAGGCTGATGGGCCATTCCTTTCGCAGAAAATCTACATCTTAGCAAAGAAACAGCTTGGGGGTCCTGTCCACCCAGACAGCCTGTCACCAGGCTCCAGCTGGAGATGCCGCTCAAAGGGGGGGAGGACTATAAAAAATGGGGAGACACCCCAAGAGCACCCCTCTCTTTCTCTGTGGCCGCTGCATCCACGTCACCTGAAGGGCAGAGGGAGCAGTGTTAGATGGGGGAGGGGTCCTGACCGAAGAGATCAGCTAGTAATCTGCTAACGCATGCGGTGAGAAAACCTTTCTTTGAATTTAACAGAGTTTGTTAAGTCAGGCGCCAGTTGCGTTTAATCTTTATTTTTCTTGGAACCATTTCTGGCTTTTATGCCTCATGCCTTATTTTTATGTTCTCCCTGAAAATCTCTCTTTGTAGCTAATAAACTTGTTTGATCTCATCCAGTGTGTTTAAATGGAAGAGTTTGGGGGAACAGGACATGTGCATATCATTTTTATTAATTCAATGACGAACTTTATATAAACGTGGACTGCCCAGGCGTGGGCTGGCAGTGCAGGACGTACATTTCTGGGGGAAATCTGAGGACTGGGGGTGTGTTGGGTCACCCTGCAGGATAACCCAGGCTGGGAAGAGCCGGGCTGTGGCTGGCTGCAGATCACACACAGACGTCGCTGGGAGTGACTCGCATGCGGGAGCTGTTTGGGAGCGGTGCAGGACTGGAGGCCACAGCAGCAACGCCGTGTAAAGAGCACCCCAGGATAGAGGGCGGGGTGACACAGCTACTCCTTGGTCTGGATTGTGTCACAAAGAGCCTGCGTGTGCATGTCTGTGCGTGTGTGTCTTCGTGTCCCTGTGTGCAGGCATGGTGCTCTGGTGGTTTGCCCCACCCTGAGGCTCTACTTGCAGAAAAGGGCCGCGTTCAGTCAGCCTGGAGCCACAGGTCCCAGGTTCAAGCCCCGGCTCCCCACAAGGGGCGCATCTGTTGCCGGCAGCACAGGTGTCTGTCCCAGTGTCCCCACAGTTCCCCCGGGCCCCTGTACCTGCGAGGATGGCGTAGGTAATGGCAGCCTTCAGCTCCCTGTCCCCATCTTCTGCGTAGACCGAGCCGGGGACGAAGTGCAAAGGCCCCACCTGGAGGAGACCCAGAAAGGCAGGTGAGGCCATGCCCCAGGCTGGGAGTGAAACAGCACCCCCACACCTCCCCCCACACCTCCCCAGGCCATGTGTGGCTGTCCTCCCAGCATGCCCCACTCGACCTGGAACATCCACCTTGTTCCGACGTTGGCACGTCCTAGTCCTGCTTCCAAGGGGCAGAGCTGGCCTCAGGGGCCGTAGCAAAGGCTCTGCCCAGCGGCACCGGGGGCTCCATCCACCCCACACCGCACTGGGCCAGTCCCCCGGTGCCTACCTTGACCTCCCGCTCAGTGACGTTTGCCGTGTAGACGGGGCTGACGCACACGCTGGCCCCGTCGTGCGCCAGGAAATTGCACGGCAGGAACCGGGGGTACTGGTCATCCCCGTCCAGCACGTTGACCCGGATCCTGGCGGAGGAGTTGTACCTCTCCTTGGTGTTCATCTCCTGGGAGGGGAGCAAACCACAACAGCCGATCAGCACAGTGGCTGCCTCCCGGGGCCGTCTGACCTGCCTGGCTATCAACGGGGCGCCTGGCTGCCAGGGGGCCAAAATCTGGCTTGGTCCAGGGTGTTGCCTGCTCCATCGGCCCATCCTAGCCCAGAATCTCCCTCTACAGCTTCTCTCTACCCATCCCTCGGCCGGATCTAGCTGTAGTATTTGCCTGTCTGGCCATCCACAGCATCTCTCCGTCTATCCAGTCAGCTCGTCTGTCCCTCGAGCCCACATCCACAACCCGCAGGGCTCAATAGCCCCAATGAAAGTCCCATCTCATGGACACGAGCGGAGGCTGGGCCGTGGTACAGCAGCCAGAGCGACTGGCGTCAGGGAGCAGGGCGCCTCCTGCAGGGGAAGAACAGAACCAGCGACGGCCAGCTCCACGCAGTCGCGGGGAAGCGGGTAGGACGGTTGTCGCTGATGCTGCATGAATGTGGGGATCCTGGCCTGCCCATAGCTGCCTCTCCATCCTGGCCCGCCACACAAAGTTCCCATGACTGAGCGCATTCAAAATTAGGAGATTTTAGAAATTGTCAATTCCGGGCCCGTTTCTTTGCCTTCTGACTTCCAAGACTTCCAGGGTCACGTGTTCTAGTCTTCCTTCCTTGGGTAACCATCCAGGGTAGAAACTCCCTTTTTCTGTTCCGTGGGAGCTGCGATGCTCCTGGCTTCACAGGACTCCAGGAGCTTGGGCTTTACAAAATGCCCAGAACACTCAAAGACCCATCATAAAATCGTGGGCGTGGCCAGCACCAATTCTGGGGACATCATTAAACTGTCCCAGCCTGCTCTCCTGCAGCAAGCACATGGAGATTCCCGAGCCGTGTGGGGTGCATGGCACTGTGCCCCACAAAAGACCAGGCGTTTGTATAGCCCGAAGAGCTCAGCTATGGAGAAGCCTTGTCCAAACCCTCAGACCTTGTGGCTCAGGCAGCAGGGGCCCCAGGACACCCCCCAAACCCTCTCCCAGTCCACACTGGGGCAGTCAGCACCGTACCCCTCATGCGGTGCATATGGAAATCATCTGCATGGATCCAACGGCAGGACTGGGCGGAGTGTGAATCAGGCAGGGGGCACTGGTGGGAAAATACCCTGGGATCTCGGCACAGCCTATTGCCTTCCGGGGTGGCCCTAAAAGGCTGCTTGGTGGATTAGCCAGGCCATCGGGGGCTCGATACTGGGAATAAGCCACTGGCCCTTCACACGGGCTGCCTGACTTTTCTGATGCACTGGGGGGCCACGTTCTGCCCCGGTGCACTCCGAGGGCTCCCTGCCGTGCCCTTTGTTTTGTTTCTTTCTGCTGGGGGCATGCTGCGTGTTTTTTTACACTGCAGCATCCAGTCCCTGGGAGACTCTGTGGATGACTGGGGCTCTGGCAGGTTTCTGACAGAAGAGACACCTGACGAATGGAGGGAAAGGCCTTTTTTCATGCATCCTATTTAACAACGTTGTTCTCTTGAGCACCGGTTTAACTCAAACGCCCGACAAACAGTCAGGCGAAAACCTCTGTTTGTTAAAGAGCCAATCCCCTCCCGCCAACACCCCGGGCAGACCTGACTTCCTGCTCCTGGTATAGCGAGGGTGAAATGCAAGCGGGGGGCCCACGCAGCCTCCGTCGTGAAGGAGCAAAAGAAAGCCCCAGCCCCAGGGGGGTTCCCTTGTGGTGCTTGCCCTGAAGTCGATGGGGGCCTCATGGGTGGAAGCGAGGCCTGCTGATGAAACTAACCAAGGGATGGGATGTGAGCCCCGGTAGCCGAAGCAGGCACTGCTGCGTCTCCTGCCATCTGGAGAGCAGCTAGAAATCCCCAGCACGGAGCAGGGTGTGACGTGCCCGAGGCAGGGGGGATGCTCTGGAGGTGGGCACAGCCCCAGGGGCACACACAGGGCAGGGACCAGGAAAGGGAGCTGGCAGTCCCTAAAAGCCCAGCCTGCCCCCCGCCCCATCGTCAATGGAAGGGGCTGGTGGCGCGGAGCAGGGGCAGCGCTGGAAGGGGACAGGCCAGCAGTGAGGTGCCGCTCAGCTTTAGCCCTATTAGGGAAATTAAAAACGGGGATTTAGGACATTCACGTTGAAAGGGGAGCTGACAAGATCACGTCGCCCCCAATTAGCCAGGGGAAGACCGGCTTAGCGAGGCCCAGGATCTGCTAAAGAGCCAGGAGAAACAGAGAGCTTGAGCCGGCAGGGACAGAGCCAGGCAGGGCGAGCAGGGAAACTGGCAACAACAGGGAATGGAAACCACACACCCACTGATCTTTGTGTCTCACAATCGCACACTGATCTCTGTCACACACTGATCTCGGTCACACCCACCCCAGATCTCTGTCACACGCTGATCTCTGTCACACACCCCATAGATCTCTGTCACACGCTGAGAGAATCATAGAATCATAGAATATCAGGGTTGGAAGGGACCTCAGGAGGTCGTCTAGTCCAACCCCCTGCTCAAAGCAGCACCTA